CCCTCTTAAACTCTCCACCACAAGATGTGTAAATTTACTTTGTTCTCTGACCCTGACCCTGTAATATGCCTCTAACCAATCTGTGTTGTTTTCCAATAGAAATCTGAACTCTTACCTCTCTTATCCAATTCCACTATATATAATTAGTTGTTTTTTGACACCGAATAATATGTCTACCTACATCAAATTCTGGAATTATGTTCCTTATGCCTTCTATCTATAACTCAAAGTATTTATGAAAAAGTATGTTCCACAACTTTCTTGAAACCTATAATTTGATTTTGTTTAGGATGTATGCAGTTGATGAGAATCCACGAAATAAAACGAGCTCGTATTATCCTGCAAACATGTTCGTTCTTTCTCTCTTCAAAATAACTGGTAAGTTCAGATGAATTGGATGTTGATATAAGAGGGTATTAACAAAAGTGATGAGTTGTCACAAACCATTGTTTTAAGAAGATTTACTTAATAACGTGAATGGTTTGATGAAAGAGTTGTGCTCAGGGTGTATATGGAAACAAAATTACATACGAAGTTACGCAAGGGTTTTAAGTGGCTAGAAAAATGAGCATACAAGCAAATGTTCAGTCAAATCAACAGAGTTGTTATCATAATAGTAGAGGTGGTTGAATAATTTTCTTTTGTATGCATAGTCCTGGTTCTTCCAACTGAATGGCTAGGGCTTCTGCAACGCAAAGAAGACGGAAAGGTATTGTCATTGACAGGTTGTTCTTCACTTGGTAGATTACTTTGAAGGAGGCGTTTGTTGAGATGGAATGACTAGTGTTGACGAGGTGTTCGATTATTGCACTCCTTATACAGCCACTACTTCCTTTCTGCAACCACGCTAGACAGTGTTCTTTGACCTTTTTTGACAGGATGCATGTTGAACGACCGATGTACCTGGCTCCACAGTAGCAGGTGTACAGATATATACACAGAGAAGTGGTCAGGTGCGGGATCTTTTCCTTCGGGCTTCTGCAGATCAGCGAGCGACTGGAGGACACTACTGTCAACGTTACTGCAAATAAACTTCTTAAAGAAGTGGAAATTCTCCTTCTAAGGACATCACTGATTAGGTCACCTTTGAAGTCGAGGTTCATAAAAAGTATCTTTTTTGGCATGGATGGCGTCTCTTGCTTTTGGATTTTCTGTTTGATGTTTTTGTCTACGAATCTTGATGGATAACCGTTTTGTATGAAGATTTCTTTCAGGAAGTGTAGTTCTTCTCTCAGGTTATCAGAGCTGCAGATGCCTCGGACGCGAGTAGCAAGGGATCTAATTAGGTTTCTTTTTCGACTGATTGGTACCCAACTGTAGAAGCTTGTCAGTTGGCCGTTCCATGTCGGTTTCCTATGGATAGACCTTCTTAAAGTTCCGTCACCTCTCCTTGTGAGTTCAACATCAAAAAAGGGATTTTAGATTCATTTTCAATTTCAAGAGTGAACTTTGTAGCTGAATGGCATTTGTTGAATATTTGCAGTAACTGATTGAGATCTTGGCCGTCATCACAGATAATAAAGATATCGTCTACTCCGTATTTTATTTTGTTTCCATGTACACCCTAAGCACAACTCTTTCATCAAACTATTCACGCCATCACGCAACTCTTATTTAACAATCATTTATGACAACTCATCACTTTTGTTACTACCCTCTTATATCAACATCCAATTCATCTGAACTTACTAATTGTATTTTCGTTTGACAAATTTAATGTACACACACATACAAAACAACCATATATATATATATTTGCTATTGTACAGCTATGAAAATGAATTCGCCTCCGAAAAGAGACTCTTAGCTGAACTACTGGTCCTCTGTCTACTAATGTTCGAATGGTAATTTGTCATGAAATAGGTTACTGAGATATTCTTGTCGGATGGTAATGTTTGACTCAGAAGGAAAATAAGTCTCAACAATTTTACAGATAAAAATTATTAATGAGTATCACAATGTATACTGAATAGGTGTAAGGTTTTCAGCAAAATGATTCGCAACCTTCAGTAATTTATAGTCTGTAAGTAAACTAAAGATTACCTTTATAGTAACCGAAGGAAAGACATGGAAGCCAAGGTATATTTTTCCTTGATCAAACCACTATTTATATATCTATACAGTTTATATTCTTTAACCAATCACTGAGCGTGTGGTCTTGGTTTACATTGAAGCGACATGAAATAGAATGTTCAAATACAAATATTATTCTGTTGCTAATGCACTAGTGAGCTGTGGAAATAGTATTCAGACGTTGACACCAACGAATACAATGATTCTTACCGTGACAATAATATTCCGTTAGAACCCGTTGACTTTGTCACAGAACCACAATATGACCTATTACAAGTTTCAAGTTAATTTACTCTCTGACTGCTGAGTGGCTGCATTAACCCTTGAACTAGTAAAGGTCACGGATATTCGGAAACGTTTATTCATATTATGTTTGCATGCTATATAATACATGGGTCAACTATTTTTGAGGGAAATTACTCAGAATCTAAGTAAGCGAGAACGTTAGGTGATTGGTTATTTGGTTATCCTTAAGTCAGATTTCATCATTCGCTGATATAGGTTGTTGCTGCTATATTTTGACTGAACTAGAATACACGTATCTTCTAGTATTTCTTCGCGTTTATAATTGTGACCTAACGTTGCGATTACTCGACATCCGCAACGTAATTCAAAAGGCACTTGCAAAGGAATACGACAGTGTATTATTGCAGCAATCAAAATTCAAAAATGGAGCGAGTACAAAAAGTATCAATTGTTAACATGCAAGATTTAGAGTAATAAACAAATCAAAGTACAATTACATAGTGAAAGTATACTGCGATGATGAGTAATAAAACGGGTCACTACAAGGTTAGGGAATGAATGAAAACCAAGGCGAATTGAACAGATTTTTTGTACTAGCCTCAGGTTATTCAGATAAGGGTGAAGGTGACTTTCCAAAGAATCGAGCCCAGGGCATTCAGGTTATGAGGTGAGGACGTTATGATACAGCTGGTGGACAAAAATCAAATGGTCCATGTAGCCTAAATACTTTCTTGTTTACAAAAGAATGGATACTGGACAAAGAGTACTCTTTTCGATAACTTCATCATCAGGCTCTACAGTTATATATACATTATAGTGAATGAATGAATTAGTGCTATGAACAACATTAATGTTTGTTTAAATAACATTGAATCAATAATATCGAAAGATTGCAGTTCAATAGCATCAACATAAAAATAAACTGAATATCAGGAAAACTAGGAAAGATAATATTATAAATTCATGGATTTATAGCCTGCACTGAAGGCCGGCCAGGGCAGAGCGCTGGTTGTTTGGGGCGAATTGCGATAGCCTCTGCTGTTTGGAGCATGCGGTGCTTCGATGATTTCGGCAATATATTAGGCACCCGGTAGATTATTGAGAAGGATTCTTCCACCCTGGCTGGCTTTGTGGCCGGTTTGCACCAGATAGTCGAATATCGAACTGTTGATGGTTTTAACTACTCCTTTACTTAGCCATACTCGGAGATGTTCTCGAGTGCGAAAAATCAAGTTCCTAGAGCAACGGCCAATATAACTCGCTCCACGACGAGCGCAGTTGAATTGGTAGATACAATTTGTAGTGGTTAGTCTAGGTACTTCATCTTTCAATCGAGGTAGCACCATCGGTCGTATAGAGAATAATACGTGTAGTTCGCCAGAATTAAAAGTTCTTTGAACTGATTTTCTTAATTTCCTCGTAATTATCTCACTTGGTATATCGCCTTTGAATTACAGTCGTATATAAAGTGGCTTCATGTTTACAGATATTGAGTAGTCCTTTTCCGCTTTCTTTATCATGTGTTTCTTATTAAATTCGTCGGGACAGCTATTTTCAATCAAGGTATCATATACAATGCTTAATTCATCTTCGATTACTTCTTCAGAGAATATAGCTCTAACTCTGTGGCTGAGGGTCTTCACTAAATTTCTTTTGTACTAGAGAGTAGAGAAGCTGTGAAATTGTGTATATTGTCCTGTCCATGTACTTTTTCTATGCAGATTCCTCTTTATGCTAACATCTGGGTTTCTTGTAGGAGCACATTGAGGAAGGCAATTCTGTTTCGTGGTTCCTCTTCGCTTCTTGTTTATAAAGTAGGGTGTATTGTAGGAGGCTATTGCCTGAACCTAACCATCCACAACTTCTCATTGAGAATCTGTGAGATCAGTCTGGATGAGTGATGAGGTATGGAGTGTTATTCATTTATTAGCTTTGTGAAGATTCAACTGATGTCAATGTAAATTTTGTCATCTCTAAAATGTCCCAAGGTATTGCAGAACAGTTGATAAGTACTCCCACGTTTGTGGTGTTTCTCTGACTGACTAATGCTGACAAATGTCATAACATATCTTGTGGTCAGTGAATTCCTCACAAACTCAACGCTTCGTCACTATTATCTGCGAAAATGACACTAATCATATCGTTTCGGATGTCGCCTATACAGAATGAGAGTGTCATCTAAACTAGAGTTCAACTTGTTTAGTTCCTGAAGATGATCAGATGACTAGTCAGAAGAGATAAGCAACAGGGAACTCTGGCAGTGAACCTGTGAAGAAACACGGAGAAAAAAACTCCAGATACGTTAGGACGTACTCTCAGGAGACCTTCAAGTGATCTCACGCGCCAAATCTTCTAACGGAATCCGAATAGGAAGCGACAGGTTGTACGTGAGTTCGACAGTTAAGTGGAGAGGATCATGTTTTAAGTAGATGAAAACTTCTGGATAACCGCGGAGCCAGGTAAAAGTGTTGGAATAGAATCAAGTGGAATGAAGAGGTGAGCTGTTGGGCCTTATTTTTCATTCAGGAATTAAGGAATGAATGATAATAATAATAATGATAATAATAATGGTAGTTATGAAAAATATCCTCATACAGAAGGTAATTTGTAATTTCTGTATAAATTATGAGCATATTCAAACTTTGTTTATGTTTCAATTTTCTTATATTAATGTTTTCTAGTGATACTGGTTCGGATAGTTCTAATTGTGATGAATTGCCTGCATATTATGCCTATCTTTTGCAAAAAGTGAGTTATATATACGCATAACAGTTAGTTTGTAAAACTGTATAGACTACATGTTTCAGTTTTATTTGAAAGAAGCCTCCTTGGAAATGTATTTTTTGATGTAGTTGTGTTCTCTGCGCTAGTTGGATAGTTAATTTGCGAAGCTTTTATTGTTCCTAACTAGGCAACATCTTCAGCGCATACTTCAGTTTGTCGAAGTCAGCTTTTAGACTTCTCCACGAGTTCATTAATCATCTCTCCTGTTTCGTTGACTTGAACTTTGACCCTTTGTATGTGAGATTTCCTTCTTATCGGTTGGTAAATTTATCAACAGAGAAAAACACTACATTGGCCAAAGTGGACTTTTCCTTCGTCTTCGTATGCATGATGATAAACTAGCCGTCAAAAGACATGACATCCACACCCTCATATCACTACATACTGACAAATATGGACATCAATTTGACTGGGACAACATTCAGATATCAGACAGAGGAAACACCAAAAATACCAGAGAATTTTTAGAAGCCTGCCTGGTATTCCAGTGAATCGTCAATCAATAGACACATCGAGATAGACAAAATTCACCAACTGATAAGAAAGAAATCTCACACAGAAAGGGTCAAAGTTAAGGTCAAGGAAACAATCAACACCAATAAAAGTAGCCTAGAGGGTGTGAAAACACACAAAAACAACCAATCACGTTCAAGGTGGTCACCATCGGGAGAGATGACTAATAAACTCGTGGAGAAATCTAAAAGCTCACTTCAGCGACTTGAAGTATGCGCTGAAGATGTTTGCTAGTAAGGGGCAATGAAAGCTTCACAAGTAAACCACCAACAGCTCAGAGAACACAACTACATCAAGAAAGTCGACTTTTATGGTGGTGCAACATCGACATACTTGAGTAGCCAGTAAAATCTCTTTGGTCACAGGAAATCGATCGAAACTATGAAAAGAAGTACAATCTAACAGTGATAATTAGGTGTAGCATTTGAAGGATGTCAGATGCAAACATTAGTTCACACTGTCAATCGTCCTCATTTTATTACTCTTTCCACAAATACATTCATCAAAATATTCTGAAAAGGTTCAATAAATCATTTTAGGATATGCTAAAGTTGAGAATGAACTTTTGTTAAGTGCTAATAAATGGCGCATCACCTTAAAATCGAACAATAAAAGTAGACCGATTGATAATCACTGTCTTCACAGAAAACTTGGTTGGTTTTTATCATACTAAATGCTCAGGAAAAAATGCCATATTCATTTGGAAGTTCTAAGTTGGATTGTGATTGTGAATCGTGTTGAGTTACACCATTCAAAATTCACTTGGAGACTATAGATATCGAAGATAATGATGAAACATATTCATATTTGGTGTAACCTGATTTCTTTTTCTGTGCCAGTGAAGTAGTACAAAAGGTGGATAGGTGAGAAAGGCTGCAATATTTAAACTTTTAAACATTTAATAATGACTTCCAACTGAATTCATCAGTTCCACAGTAAACAAGTACCATGAGGAAAAGTTAAAAAGTAATTCGAAAAGAGAGAGTAAACAGTGTATGATACAACTCACTGGTAAGCGAGTGTAGCTGAACTACGACTTCTGAGGTTTCAGCTGATAGGCATGATTTGTACTTAGGAATATGGACTGCCTTTCAGTGTCTGCTTAACTGCAGGCACCTGCCTATGGGTATATATATGCGGTGTGTGCCTATCATTGGTGGGTGTATGCGCTGAGTTGTCAGGTCCACTGTACGGGCTATTGGTGTTATTAGCTGGCTATGGCAGATCTACACCTTGTGCCGAAGACAGTGATTATCCTTATAACCTCCATTTTTAAGGGAGTGTGGAGTCTACTTAACTTCACGCAAACTTTAACCCGGTCAGTTAATGACTTGATCTTGTTTATTTGGAAGTTGTGTGTACTTCTTAGTTTCGGCCAGTTGTCTGACAAACTGTCTCCCAGACTAATCTTGAAACACAGATGAAGGGATTTGACATATATGTTAGTCATCGAGGGTTAGGAAAGCGAAAAGACCTAGTGAAGTTAAAGGTTCCGAATTTTCAGACTGAGGTTAATTGCTGCTATTTTGCCCATAAATTACAAGATGCGAGCAGCAAATGCATCACCAGCACATGCGCTATGTGAACCTTTGAGGAGGAACAAGAGCGTACGTGTTGAGACCTTAAAAATTGTCAAATACGCTTGAGAAAGTTGAAGGCAGAGGAAACTCTGGTGGGGGACACTAGGGATTCCTACATGTGGGTCGACTGCAGTAAAGTGCATGTAGCCGCAAAAGACTAATCGAACCATCTACCAGCTTGTTCCCTTAGAACTTTCTCTCGAGATAGCTGGCATTCCCAAATGTAGTCGTTTAGTGACGAAATGTACGCTGAAACTAACCAGTATTACTAGAAAACCCGAAATCAGACCATTAATCTCCTTTTTACTGGTTGCTACAGGGTAAATATCGTGATCTTCTAAAGAGATGTCACGGCCATTGGGATCCAGCATGTCAGGTGTAAAACCGATGCTCATCGATGGTACTAGTTGATGTTAGTGATATATCACAGATTGGATTGATATTAAATGGCTGGAGGCAATCGGCAGGAAGACCCGCTCCACTTAAGTTTTGCCCCTAGTTGGCACTCACCAGCCAGTAAAGCGTATCTGCAACCTTAAAGGAACTCATATGCCTCCTTCAGAGATTCGAACCTGCGTCACCCAGTGCTGCAGTCATAGACGTTACCACCGAGCCATCTATTCGGGCTCGCGATTGACCTCCTGTAGGACTGTATTGGATACTCTCGATTGGACACTAGTTAGTGACTAGTCTGGTGTGTCTGGTCCTTTGTTTGGTGCAGACTGGATTCCATGAGTGATATTTTCATGTGTCCACTCAAATTATCCAATACAGTCCTACAGGAGGTCGATTGCGAGCTCTAATAGCTGGCTCGGTGGTAACGTCTCTGACAGTAGTACTGAGTGACGCGAGTTCGAGTCTTAGAAGGGACATAAGTTCCTTCAAGGTTGCAGACACAATTTACTGGCTGGTGAGTGCCAACTAGGGGCAAAACCTAGGTGGAGCGGAACTTCCTGCAGATGGCGAGCCACCTAGCATGGTGGCTACATTGCAAACTTGACTCATAAAATTCAGTCTGCAGCAAAGAAAAGATTAGACACATTACACTAGTTAGTGACTAGTGTCCAATGAAAGTACAGATTGAATTCCAACTCATTAGGTAACCTTGTCACCTGAAATTCTTGTATTCGCCTGTTGATGAGGTTATGGATGTTGAGCACTGCTAAAGAATCCAAAACTAGAAACATTTGGGTTCATAACGATATCTACACTGAACCATCCCGGCTACCTTTGACTCTGCTGTGTCTAATATTTATTATCAACAATTTTTTTGTTTAATTATTACTCTACATACCTGAAAACGAAGTGACATCTGCTGTCTGACTAATTTTTACAGCCCAAGAAGAAAATCAAGCGTAAATCACGGACATCATCTTTGAAAAGCAGTGAAAAGGTTAAACTGGTCAATAAAAAGGTAAATTTATATATGGTTTGAACCTATTACTTTTGCTTGATACTTGTGAAATGAACTTAGCAAGCCTGTGTACTGCTGTTTTGTTGACAAACAGTAATGATTCTGTTTATTACTGCGTACAGGATATGAGAAGAATAAAATTCGAATTTTATTGTTTGGTTACTATTCTGATAATCTAAACAATCTTACTGGACCGTTCAGTGTTCAATGAAGTGAAGAGTGCATACTGCTTAGTTGATGCTGGCTGGCGGTTGTATCCATGATACATATTTCGTCCTATCTGAGTACTCATCATCCGGATTCCCCTCCATCTCAGAGTGTAGAGAAAACCTGGAAATGAAAAAATCATCAGAATGATCTTGTGCTTCCAGTTTTATTGTATCATTTTTGAAGGAAGCATCATGCAACGTATATTTCATTGTTAAGCCTTTGTTTTCAAATATTCATGGAAACCATCCTGTAAGATGGTCAGTTATATAGGTCGAACTACAATATCAGGGTCAATAAGGCCATTGGAGCATTGGAATCTAGACAAATCTAGGATGTCAGATCCTTTGCAGTTTAATGATCTAGAGAAACAGCTTATCCATTGTAATACATCTAGGCACAAAATGTATTATAATATAGATGGACAGAGAAGTTAATCAGCGAGTTTCTGTTCATCGAGTCAGCACCATCCACCTGCAATCGAAATGCCGCAATGTTTATTCATCACCATGAAAAACATGGCAGACTAAGGCGTACATTGATCTGATAATGGAAAACAGAAAGATTGAGCGAAGAAATATTTACTTTTCAATTACATCCTGATCTCTGACTCTACTCTAATACATATAGCATTTTTATTACAATACACAACAGTTTACCAATCAAGTGGGGATATGTTTGTTAACAATAATTAAACAGTGTCAAAATGTCAATGGGTTGATAATTAACGAAGAAAATCAATACACATTTAAAAGGTAGAAATGGATAGAATAAATTAATTTTACAAGAATAACACGTAATTAAAGATGAAGTGGTCAAAATAAAAATAAAATAATTTGGACGATTATAATTTAGTAAGTTTAGGGGGAGGGGGAGGGGGGCGACGTAGTCCTGTCTTGTAACGATGGCCACGGTAAGGAATGTGGCTGTACATATTTCTTCTGTACACACAGGCTTGGTTTCTTCTGGTGGATTCTGATTGCTTCAGCTGTCTGTAGAAGACGAACTTGTAGAGCAAAGTTAAGTTTAGTAGGAATGCGATAAATAATTTTAAATGCAGTATTTAAGTCAAACTTATGCTCAGTATCAACAAGGTGTGCTAAAATAGAACTACGAAAAGATCTTGTTTGTCCCTTGCTTAACCACGCTGGATGATGTTCAGAAATACGACGATGAACCTGACTAATTGTATGTCTGATGTAGCTGGCTCCGCAGCTGCAGTCAAACTGGTAGACACACATATGATAATGAACGATAAATTGTGCTCGAAACATCATGTGTCCTTGTAGTTTGTATCAAATAAACTTGTACAACAGAAGACTACTATGAGTCAGTACCCTCATTCATTGTATCTTCATATAAAAAAAGTTTCTGAACATATTTCAGGAAACAACTGTTAAGCTTTTAACGTTATGAAGAAGATAAAAGATACTTCAGTGAGGCAAATCTACTTTACCGACGTAGTCATCTTCAGAGGGTGTAGAGTCATATTTTTATTTACTTAGGGTGTACATTAGTCTTCCACTGATATAATTACTCAGGAATAGCTTTTTTTAAGCAAAATCAAAGTTAAAAGATTACGTGACAGTCGACGGTAGAATAGAAGAATCGATTTGATACTGCATAAGGCTGAAATTGTTATTTAATGAGACGAAAGGTAGTTGAATATCCACATGATGGGAATGAAGAGAGTGAGAAAATGTACAAAAGGAATATACAAGAGTGATAATAGTGAATAATTTACCAAAAATAAAAGCGAACGATCATGGAAGAGATTAAGTACATGGTAGGATAAGAAACTGAAGTCTTTCTTTCACACAGAGTTCGGAGTTATATTGACGAATCGCTAGTGCCATCGTCATGCACAAACGCCGAAACCTAACACCCCTTCCAACACTCGGTTTCATCTTGTAGATAATCTTAAAAGATGACTCTGGTGGAGCTGCATGGTATAAGTTCACCAAGCGCTTGGTAGTTGAGCTAGTAACTGTCATTTTTTTTATTCCTTCACGTTCCCAGTGAAACATAGGGCTACTTCAAGCTAGAGACTTGAAGTTTCTGTAGCAGTGTTTATTTTAACGGGATGAAGTTTCCAGCCTCATGCCCAATTTTTCCTCTTTACCAGCTTTATTTTTGGCTTAGAGAGATAAAGGAGTGCGTCTGTTGCCGGGGATCGAACCCCGGGCCATGTGCATGGTCGATGAGCGTCCTGATATCTGTACAACCGACGCACCAACTGTCTTACATTTTATTTTAGAAGGCACTTTCGATTTACTTTCTTTATTGCTCAGCAATAGATTACTAGACAGTTTTGGTAAATATAAACATGAGTGTACGGCCTCTGAAGACGGCTTTTTCTCTAAAGTGAATCTTCTCTGAATTTTCGTCTTTTTTTCCTCAAAACTCTATTTTGTTTCACAATAATTTTTACTTCTTCTTTCTACAACTAAATCTATTGCTTCCCTATGCAAGATTGTCATCAATATACTACTTAAAAGCTTTTGTCAGCAACACCCGTCACATTATTTGTATTATTGAGAACTCGAAAAATATACAGAATTGAAATGCTATACAATAAAAACGGGAAAATAAATTCATTTCAGTGGTAATCTTATTAAGGAGAACAGTATATATATATATACTATTAGAGTTACAAGAATACAGTTGAATTTAACCGAAGAGAACGATAATGATTAAATAAAGGATGGAGTTACTGAATTTCTAGTGAGACGTAGTGATCATTGAGGTCTATCATGTCGAGCAGGTAATTGCTGGTGGTAATGTCAAATATGGTAAAACGGTAGAATTTGGAATTTACGCTTCATTGGATTCTTTTATCATTGGCTGAACAGTGAAGGGGCTTAACTTGTACACTGAAGATGCTGGTATCAGTTCTCGGTGAGTACTGCTGATGAGTCCCAAACTCAGATGAAAGAGTGTATAGTACTCATTGGTTCTCAGTGGTTCTCTAAGTGATGTCAGTTGGTCTTCTAACATAAGATTAGATGATATTGTTTGAGAACGGTCTAAATATCCTGTAAAATGGATAGCGCGAAGTCATTTGAATTGGCAGAAGAGGCATCAAAGATAGCACTTTAAGTGAACATAAAGAAAACAGAGGTGATGAAGATTCCTGCGCAACACCACCAACAGCAACAACAATAAAAGATAACAATCAGCATAAATGGAAGGAACCTGAAAGAAACAACCTCTTTTGCCTACCTGGGAAGCATCGTTTCAACTACAGGCGGAACTGACGAGGATATCAAAGCAAGGATCGGGAAAGTTAAGACAAGCTTTCATTGCTCTCAAGCCTGTGTGGAAGTCAACAGCACTCAGGATGAAAAGTAAGATCCGGATTTTCAACTCCAATGTGAAGTCGATGCTACTTACTATACGGATCAGAAACTTGGCGCGTCACAAGGAGCACCTCGCACGAGCTACAGACCTTCATCAACAGCTGTTTACGCTCAATACTCATGATCAGATGGTCAGAAAAGATCAGCAACAGTGATCTATAGGAGCAAACACACCAGGAACCGGTTGGGAAACAAATAGTCAGGAAGAAATAGAGATGGATTGGCTGGTCATACTCTTAGGAAACCATCAAGTGACATCACTAGACAAGCCGTTGCTCGAGTGGAACCCGAAAGGAAGGCGGCGAGTTGGTCGTCAGTGTGAGGGTGACTTGGAGAAAGTCATGTGAAGAGGAGATGAAAGCATGTGGGCAGACTTGGAGCCAGGTGAAGACTCTAGCAGAGAACCGGACGCAGTGGAGACGCACGGCTGAAGCCCTATATTCCTCTAGGAATTGAAGGAAATAATTATAATAATAATCTAAGTCTTCGTACTAGAAAATAAGTAACGTGGCTTTTATCCGAAGCTTAAAGATGAAGGATGTATTTAGGCAACAGTCAGAAATTCTCTTCATTTTTGGTGTGGATCATCAAAATTATAAGCACGTCCGTGTTTACAAATTATTTATAATATTACAAAGCAAATTATTGATTGTTTCTTTTAGGTGACAGAACCTAGAAAGGATAGCCGTACCGGTGGTCACTGTGCAGTAAGTGTAACTAATATTTCTATTACTCTTGTAACGACAGAAGACAAGGGCCAGGCAACAGATCCTGTATTGAAAAAATCAAGAGATATTTATAGGTTTTTATGTACATTATTATTAGCGTTATTGTTAGCAGAGAAGCAACGTCTTCTGATTGGTTGTTTTCTTGCTGAAGGTTATTCTGTACTGCTTGTGAACGTTTCTTAGAAAGTTGAGCCGTATATCTGTAAATCGCATTTGAACACGTGAAGTCTGCTGTGATAGGTTGTTGAGTTAGTCAAGGTTAAGGTTTGTTATTTTTTTTTCTCCTGACCCTGATTCGAGACGTACACACTGGCGTTAATTGTTTTCTACAGTTTTTTCTTGCAGATAGCTCTCACCACATTCTTATTATTCAAATTTTTCGGTCCTTGGTCAAATGATACTAATAGGTTTAAAATCAAATGGTAGGGATAGGAGTGTGTAACACAGTGTTCTGAGTTAATATAAATGCAAAGATTTCTATATCTGAGGGTATGGATTAGAAATTATCGAAAATTCTGATTGTTATATGCTTTATATGACTTGGATCATGGAGGTCAGATAATGCACTTTGCGGATTATGATGCCAAATCAATTCATGTCTTCTTTCTGTATTGAGCCAAGTTCAATTCAGCTTACTCAAACTGAAACACAATACGACAGGTCAATTATGAACCCGAATAGCTCAATGGCGCCATTTAGTGACGTGTCATCAAGTCTTTATGAGATATCGGTTCTTTGAAGTGTGCCTTGGTGACGAGATCCAACAGGTATTTCATGTCAATTTTGTTCTGCTATCTGACACTTTGAATCATATTCAGCTCATCCTCTTACCTTAATGATCTGGAAGTTCTTTTTGATTGAAGCTAGTAGGAAACCTTTCATATCCTACGAGTACTTTTTAAATGTTTTTTCCCATCTATAGCCTGATAATAAGTGTGCAGTCATTAACCCTTGTGGTATAAACATTTAAACATTTATGTTATACTGAAATAATGGAGACGTTTTGTAGCCTATTTGGATGTCTTCAGTGTGGTTGTTTCCTATGAGCAAGGAGGGAGAATTGACATTGTCATGTCATGCCATTCTTGACAACTTCAAGCCTTACTTCAATAAAAAGAAATGAGATTTTGAGGTTCTAAGTGAATGACTTAACTGTCCCTCCTGATGAATCCTACTGTCATTAGCTTTTATCAGAAAACTTTTTATCTTTGTGTTAACTTGTATTGCTATTGATGGTCTCGTTAACATGATTATTTCACCCTTTTTGAGTGACAAATTTGATCTGTGTCAACATGTCTGTTAAGTGAAGATTGATAAAAGTGTCAGGCTTCTGACTGACTGAATGTCTGAGCTTAGGCATAGATAGATCATGAATATTACACAGGGTGAATGCATCTTCGCCACTGGGAACGGTTTTAAAATATGTAATCAACAATGTCTAGTATTCCAAGGGTTCCAACTGGGCAATATAAATCTTCTTACGCGCCTCAGTCTTCTAGAAGTTATCAGACATTTTCGCTATTTTCGCTATTTGAAAATTTGACATTTTCAGAGTCAAATTGGTCTCTATAGTTGACCATATTTGTTGATCTAAAGAAATATTTGTTACGTTTGTTTTTTGGTGGCTAGTTAAGTGAAGTGACATAATTTGATCAGGAGCCTTCGAATCTACCATAATGTTTGGGTGTTCAGTGATTGGAAATCGTAAGCTTTCATTTCTTCGTTCTATTGATTAAGTTTACAAATACAGATGAATAAGGGGCTTAGAATGAATTGATTTCTGGCGTTTCTCTATATTTGAACGAAACCAGAACTACAGTTTTAGCAGAATAAAGTGGTACCATCTTTTATTTCGTTGCCTTCTCGCTAGCTGCTTACAGGGCAAAGACATTAATGAATATATCTACAAAAACATTCTTAACATAATTGCACGGAGTTCATTTTAAACAAAACTCAACCAATCGATCAATATATGCATACACTAATATATATACATATATATATATATATATGCAGTATTAAACACTATTCCGAACAATAATGATCATACACAATGGAAACTTTTCAGCATTTCACATTCGGATGAAAGAGAGATGAAAAATATCCAGTTACCAGGGCAAAGAAAGACTGATAACCACTTCTTTCTGGACGCATAAATCAGGTTTCAGGCGCTTGATGGAAATGGCTTCAGCGAACTTAAGGAGAATTGAAATCTTTTGCTTGTTGATAATTTTAAACGATCTTGCGACGTCCACCTCATAACCCATGTCGAGGAGATGCTTGGCGATAGCGCTGTTTAAAGCACTTGTTCCCTTTAGACATAAGCTATTTGGTACATGTTCAGATAGTCGTAGATATGCCCTTCTTCTTTCTGTTCTTCCAATGTAACTGCTCCCACAGATACATGTATATACAGTTGGAGTTAACATGAAAAGGATATCTATCGATGTTTGATTGTACCCAAGAGCAAGTTGTTCGATACACAGGATCGTGCTTAGCTGCAGGATAGGCTGTGGTTAGCGACAAACTTAGTCTTCTGTTGACCATTGCTTCAATGTTTTCACCATTATAATCAAGTTTAATGTAGATTGGCTTTTTCTCCACTGTGATTTGTTTTACTTTTGTGACTTAAGATCTACCATAATTGTTGATGAAAATTCTTCTTCTAATTTCTCTTTAGAGCATATTCTCCTCGCTCTATAGTACAAAATATTCTAGTTGTTATTTCAAAGATATTTTTTGTATATGGTAGGACGAATTTTCTTGTGGTCTTTGATGATGGTTCCTTGTTAGTGTTGTGATTCGACTTTACACACTTTTTATGGAATTGTCAGGATATCTATTCTTTTTGAAGACCATTAGTAGGTGTTTTTCCTCCATTCTTTTCAACACATGAGTGCTACAGGGTATTTGAACTCTTTTAACCAATATCTGCACATAGTTTCTTTTGTTAGTAATTGGATTATTGCTAGCAGAGTTGAATATGTGATCTGTGTGCGCTGATTTTCTATATACTTGTGTTTCTAAATTCCCTGTGTTAGTTCTCCTGATTAAGACATCTTAAAATGGGATTTTGTTATCTAATTCTTCTTCTCTCGTGAATTTGATGTCTTCAAATATGTTGTTTATTAATTTGAGTATATTCTAAATCACTTCTCCTAATTATTACAAATGTATCATCAACGTAACGTATCCAGATTTTCGGTTTAATTATAGGTAGAGCTATTAATTCTAATCTTTGCATGACGGCTTCAGCTATTAATCCTGATATGGGTGATCCCATTGGTGTTCCTTTTATCTGTTCGTATATTTGAGTATTGAATTGGAAGTATGTTGTAAGGCATAATTCTATTATGAGTTCTATCCAAGTTGAACATAGCATTTTTATGTTTTATCACTACAGAGTAATTGTTGCATAGTTTCTGTTGCTAGTTTCGGACTAATTGAAGTATATAATGATGTGACATCAAAGGACACCATCATTTCATTGTCTTCTACTTGAATGTTTTTGATTTTCTCTAAAAGTTGGATTGACAAATTGATAGAATGGTTGCATGATTCTGTTAGGTAATTTAATTTCCTGAAAATGTCTTTTAGATAGATTATATGTTGGTGTTCCTGGAAGCAAAACGATTGGTCGTAATGGAATGTTTGGTTTATGTAGTTTTGGTCTACCATAGAATCGAGGTCAAATAGGTCCATTAGATTTCATTCGCCATTGATCTTGTTTTGTAATTTGTCGTGATTTCGTTAGAATTCTGCTGCGATGACAGCACTCAAAACTCACTGCATAAACTGCAAAGCCTTATAACTTATACATCTTTGAAACAGATATCAGAAGACAACTTATTCACCTCAGGATAGAAAAAGATTATCCACTAAATGCTTCATATAAATCTTTTAGACTGCATATTTTATTTTGTTAATTTATTCAGCCTTTTGTACATCGTTTCACTACATTGTTACGCGAGAAAGTTTGTCCCATATGTGGTACTTATGTAAGTATAGATAGAACTCGCGCTAACCCAAACTAATTGCCGCTTGTTTGCGCTTTAATTTCTCTGCGTATCGCTCTCTGAATGCTACTCATTGGCTCAAACTAATATCTGTTTGTCCTCAACCGGGGGAACAAAGTTTGTTAATGTTTCTTAATAAAGTTCGGTGTGTTTTGGTGTGTGTGTGTTTATGCGTGGAACTTTTAACGGTGTTCGCCCATGAAATTTTCTATTCACATTTTAAATTTCTAACTGAAAGGTTATTAGCAGGCTAAGGTGACTGCGAACGTTCTTCCTGAAGATATGTGGTAGGACTTTATATACTTTCTGGGTCCTCTCATATTATATGTATTGTTTTCATTAGCTCCTTAAACTCCGATTGGAAAATAGGGCGTCACGAGCATATCTTCATTCCACTCGATTCACTTCTATCACTTCTGACCGGCTCCAAGACTACCTACAACTTTTTGTTCTTCCCCATGCAATCCACTTCACGCAACCTTGGAGACCTTGCAGTCACTCCCACTCGGGTTCTACTTGAGGATCTGGTATACGATATCACTTGAAGGTCTCTCCATTATATGTCCAATCCATTTCAGTTATTTTTTGCATATTTCTTGAGCAATGGGTTGTTGGCTGGTTTGTTGTACTATCACAGTTACTTGTTACTTGTTCCCGACCGAAAGCTGCTACCTTGACGTGGTGGTCGGGCTTGAACACTGCAATGACCCAACAAGCTATACTGGCTGGAACTTATGTTCCTGCAGGTCCTACCATGCCAGAAAGGTTGTTTGGATAGCAGTTAGACTAAAAGCAGTTACCCAATCCAACCCTATGATTTCAAATAAATCACAAAATATCATGCCGGATCGGTCGGGGCCCGGTTTAACAACGACCGCGCTTTCTGCTGCCGTGTCACAGGGCAGAAGTGATAAATACGCTACTGAGACACACCAAATTAAAAAGAACAAACAAAAACAGGCC